TCAACAGAGCAGTCACATGGTCACAATTGGTGTCCTAGGGTCTGCCTGCAGGGGGAATGATTGTGCTGACAGGCAGTCTCCCTGCAAGCATAAAATAAAAAAATGTTAATAAACAAATCTAATTATATATGTGTATATATATATCTGTCATACTAAGTGTATTTTTATATTAACAGCTAACAAATAAGTTATTTACCTGCCAAATTCTACACAGAATTTTGGCCCACCCTGTAGGTTGGTTTATGAATGAAAGTGATTGACTAAAGAGGATGGAATGGAGTTGAAAAAAAAAAGTGAAATTGAATAGCAAAGGGACAAATGTAAATTGGTGTGGACAGTATGTGAAAAGACAGGAAGGTAGAAATAAATGAAGTGGCTTGTGGTAAGAAAGCTGAGTGAGATTAGTCTAATACATTAATCTGCCTCTAGGAAAAATAAATAAGACTGGTAAAGGGGGTCAGTGGGAGAAAGGTCACTGTCCCATTGTACAGCGCTACAGAATCTGATGGCGCTATATAAATAATAAAATAAAAATGTGTTAAATCAAGCTGGATTTGGAAGCCAAGAAAAACATCTCTCAGTTATTAAATGGGGGGTAAAATAAACTAAAGAACGTGTGACCCAGACCTATTGATAATAATTCTTTCTTGTTTGAACGGGTCGATGAGATAAAATATAACTGCATGTGATAGCAATAAGCTCATCCTTGCACTATTTTAAATACTGGTATTTAAAAAAAAACAACAAACAAAAAAAAAAACACCTTGAAATAGTTTGCAGAGTGTTGTACTGTTGTAGAATTATTAGGCCTCTATAAATTTGTAAGGCCCCTTTAAATCCTCTTGCTATACCTCTAAGAGGCCCCCATAGTTTTACAAGGAAGCTTTGTCTATAGAACATAGAATTTGCATGTCAGCAAGAAATAGCTTTGATAAAATGTGTATTTACTAAAATCCTTGAAACTTAACCTTGAGAAACTAACAAGTGCCAGCTACGCTCCAAATGGATAGCTGCCAAAAGGCCCCTCCCGTCGAGTGAGCTCCTCATTTTAACAAGATGGCGCTAAAACCTGTAGGAGTTAAGAAATTACGTAGATAGTGACCTAAGAATGGGGAGGGCATTTTACTAACATCTTAGCACCTAAGCCAATTAACAATGTCTATTTGTCTATATCTTGATTTTCTTCAATGATGTAATAATGCCTTTATAAGGGTCTGCGCACCCATTTTCTGTCAGAAGCCATTAAACTTCTCTGAAGTTCTTTCATTACCCTGAACCTTGTGTCTCAGTGTGAATTTACTTCTGCGTGCACGCAACTTTATTATCTTTAATTTGGACAGGAACAGATAGTCATTCAAACTAATTGGTTTGCAGTAAATTATCTAGAACAATTGGCGCTCTCAACGTGGGGCTCTGGGCTATGTCCAGTCTGGGCAGCTGTCCAAGAAGACGCTGGGAGGGCTGAATCCTGGGGGAAGGAAAAGAGCCTGATCACCTCTGAATACACGGTAGAGATTGCTGCAGCACCTAGCCGGTATGTTCCTACCCCTGTGATTGACCTGCCCCAGTGTCTGTGACTGCTGCCGAGAGGACATCAAAGTCAGGTAATAACTTGCCCAGAGTCTTTGTATTGTTAATGATACCTAGTTTACCTGCATGTTGACTATCTGTTGCCTGGGTGTGTTTGTATTGGTATGTGTTTAACTTAGTACCCGGGGAGTGTAAGTGCCTGTTTAACCCCTTTTAGGTACCACATGCCTGTGGTAGTAAGGAAAAAGGGGGGTGGACCTGTGGAAGTTTTCCTGGGGGTCCTCTATTGCCTGTTTAACTCTTTTAGGAGCCACGTGGCTGTGGCTGTAAGGAAAAAGAGTAGGGGGGATCTGTGGAGGGCAGTAGACTCACTGCTTCCTGGGGATCCCCAGAGTGTCATTTTGACCGCTTAGCTAGCCTCATCAGACACTTCTTCTTGGTAAAATTCCAGTCTCAAGCGCTGAGACAGGTAAGATTCCAATTCTTTAGGCTATACAGGATTCGGGTTGGAAGCTGTTGCTGTTTCCTGTGGCTGCTGGTAGTGAGACTTGCGGGTGGGTCCGCAACAGGGACACTACGAGGTTGAGGGAGGTGGCTTTTGGCCACACGAGTAAAGGCAAGGGATAACACTGTTGAACTTATTTGAACTGTGATGCATGCACTGTATTTACACTGAAATGTTATTGTCTTAATTGTCTGTCACACAGATTCCTGTGTTTACTTCTATCTTACTCACTGTACTATTTACACTTTCCCCTCCTATTTCTCTTTCTCTTTGTTGAGAGAAGTGATTGGTCACACACTTCTCGCCACGCTCCAATCCGCGGCTACCACGGGTAGGCGGAATCAGTGACTAGTCTACGTTTTGGGAAGACGTACTTAAAGAGCTTGCTCTTAAAGTAGCAGTCGAGCACGGTAGACGTTCTGTTCCTTTCTCTCTCTATATCTGGGACGCCTTGTATAGGGAGGATGGGACAGAAGTTAGATAAACCCAGTAAGGGTTGGTTAGCATGTGATCTAGTGGAAGACAGAGAAGGAGAAGAGATGGTTAAGAAAGTGAGTAAGATTGCTAAAGTATGTGGAATTACCGTACCTCTGTGCGGCAGATTGTAGCCAGAGAGCTGGCGTAAGTTACTGACAGAAGAAAGGGAAGCTGTCGGACCAAGATTTGGTTTGTACAGCAGAAGCCTGGTACCGAGTAGCAAGAGCTATTCAGCAAAAGGGATAGGTTGAGGAAGATATTGATCACAAAGGTTTAAGATTGTATGTATATCATAATAATTGTGTTACTGGGAAGTTATCCCAGCAGTGCCCTGTCCAGGAGGTGACCACTTCCATCATCCTGTCAGTAATGACCGAAATGTAGCTGACCATGGTCACCATCCCACCCCAATCTTAAAACGCTGTGGGGTTTTTGTATTTTGTGTTAGCCATTACCCTGGTAGAGGGTGGGGGTTTAAATGAAATGTTGTGTTTTTGCTTTGTAATGTAATTGTCCTTCTGTCTTGTTACTGTACAGCGTTGACATGGTTAAATTCGTGCTGGCAGGCAGTCTCTCTCTTGTTCCACTCAAATCCCCCTCTGCTAAAACACCCCCCCCTCCCCTCGCTTCTGTGAGACGCGGGGGGGAGGGGGCGGGGGGGGTGGTGACATGCTTGCGATTTAGGTCTGTCTCTTCGGTGTTCTGTAGAGTTATTCAGAAGCTACTGATAAGAGTATAAGGTACTGAGGATTGTGGGAGTGACGAGCTCACAAGATTGCATTCAGTGTTGAATACGGGATTTAGGAAGGTGTAGAGGGAATATGCGATGTTGTTAAGTCAGTATAAGAGGAGGAAAGTGATTAATGGTTTGAGGAAGATAAGGGAATTTGGTTGAATTCCGCGAGTTTATTTTGCATCATTTTATTATTTTAAAGTTATTTTAAAGTACATGTTTCTAGAAACAGCTGTATGGGCTGTTAAATGCATAATGTTCTCAACTGTCTTATTTAACCTGCCAGGTCTGTTCATAGTTTAGTATTTCATTTTGCAGAACGGAATGTTGCTTCTCTGACTTATTTTAATAGTTATAATATAGTGTATTGTTGAAGGTGACGTCACTTCCGCCCTTACCATGCCCACACCTCCTGTCTTCCTTTCCCACACCTATCATGGACGTCATCTCACTTCCTCCCTTGCTGTCATTTCCTTCCCCGCCCCTGTCATGGCTGCCTCCATCATGAGGCCTACCCCTATTATGCTCGTCCCATTTAGATAATTACTGGAACAATCATGCCATTTGTTTCCCTGTATCAACAATTTGTCCGTGATATAAAAAAAAAAAAAAAAAAAGAAGGTTGCTAAAATGTAATTTGCAACTGTGGTGTGACCTACAAATGAGATCTGTTGGACACGAATATAAGAGCATAACAGCTGATTATCCAGCTTCATCTTGCAACAAGGGAAATAGCTAAATAATGCAAGTTATTTTAAACATTGTATCTTTACTTAATCGAATCTTGCTAGTTACAGATCTTATGTTTACAGTAACATCCTTTACTTTAAATGATGGTTTAGCATTAGAAGGGTTTGTGACATGTTTATTAACCCAGCCACTACTGGTTATTCATTTTAGTTACAGGGTGGTATAATTGTTATAGTCTAATTGATATAAATGATAGTACCGCAATAGTTAATGTTTTATCCAAAGACATATAGGAACTTTACTTAACTTACTATTAACCATTATTTATAATGATAGACATGTTCAGACTGCAAAAAGCTATGGCTAATGACATACAAAAGGGGTTTGAGTCAGTAACACAGCCCATACTGAGGAGAGCAAACCCGCTGATGCTTAATGCCCCTGCCATGGCAGTGTCTTCAGGGGAACAAGGGGGGCCTCTAGCTACTGTAATTTTACCCATTGAGGGCCAGCCCACCACTTTCCTAGTTGACACAGGTGCAGCCCGAAGTGTTCTGAGAGAACAAGACCTGCCCGATACCTCATTTCTTTCCAATATTGATGTCTCCTGTGTTGGGGTGGACGGCCTTCCAAGGCAAAGTCCCCTGTCCACCCCACTGCGGGTTGGTAACTGCCACAACTTGCTTGCTCGCTTTGTGGTATCTTCCACATGCCCCATTAACCTGTTAGGAGCTGATGTTCTTTCACGCCTGCAGGCATCCATCACCTTTACTCCAGATGGACAAGTGGAACTATCCACCCCTCTATCTGTCTCAGACACCTCAGCTTTGTGCTCCTTACCCCTGATGCTACATCTAGAAGAGCCTCATGGGGATGCAAAAGACCTAAGGACTAATTTCCCTGATTCACTAAAGACTGATGTTCCCAAGAAGCTGTGGTCCACAGGCCCAGAGGACATAGGCCATCTAAAGGTCCCGCCTGTGGTGGTAAAGCTCATCCCAGGCGTAAAATTGCCACGAAAATCACAGTATCCTTTGAAACCAGCTCAAGCTGCAGCCATTACAATTCAAATTCAAGCACTCCTGGAGAAGGGTGCTCTTGTCAAATGTGAATCACCATGCAATACTCCATTATTTCCAGTAAAGAAAAAGACTCCAAAAGGCGAACCAGAAAAGTACAGATTGGTCCAAGACCTCAGAGCGGTAAATGAAGCCACAGTTTTGGACACTCCAATAGTGCCCAACCCACACACTCTCCTTTCCAGCGTTCCACCCTCTGCCAAGTACTTCACTGTAATTGATCTAGCCAATGCCTTCTTCAGTGTTCCCCTGGATCCAACTTGCCAATATCTGTTTGCTTTCACACATGACAAACAACAGTACACATGGACTGTCATGCCCCAAGGGGCACAAAATTCACCAAGTCAATTTGCGAAGGCCATGTGCTCTATCCTTGATCCATGGCAATCTGACCACCCTGAGGTCGTCCTGCTTCAATATGTGGATGATTTGCTGCTTTGTGGAGATGATATACCCACAACAGAACAATGCTCACTTAATATTCTTTGCTACCTAGCAGAACAAGGATGTAAAGCTTCACGTCTCAAGCTGCAATTCTGCCAACCTACTGTTATCTTCCTTGGCCATTGTCTGTCTCAGGGAACCAGACATCTTACCCGTGACCGAGTTAGAGCGGTACTGGACATTCCACCTCCAAGGACCTCGAAGTCACTACACGCCTTCCTAGGCCTCATTTCCTATTGCCGAGCATGGATCCCAGAAGCCTCGCTCCTTATGCAACCTCTTTATGATGCCCTCAAGTCAGACCCATTTTGCTTGTCCACAGAAGCCCTTGACAACTTCTGTTCTCTCAAACGTGCTATTGCTTCTGCTCCTGCTCTTGGCCTACCAGACTATACCAAACCCTTCAAATTGTTTGTTTCTGAAAGACAAGGCCATGCAACAGGAGTACTCACTCAGGCTCATGGTCCTGGAGGCCGCCAAAGGCCTATTGGATTTTTCTCCTGCCAACTGGATATTGTGGCCAGAGGACGTCCCTCTTGCCTTCGGGCCGTCTTTGCTGCCAGAGAGCTCATTGAAAGAACTGGGTATCTTGTCCTTGGCCACCCCCTGGTTGTCTTGGCCCCTCATGACATTTCTGCCATAGTCAACCAGGTCCAACTTAAGCATGTTACTCCTGCTAGGCATCTTCGCCTTCAATGTCATCTTTTGTTGCCTGACAACATTACCCTCCAAAGATGTCAAGTTCTCAATCCGTCCACTCTTCTGCCACTCCCTGAGGGGGGTGTATACTACGGATTCATCATGGACGAAATTTATGTTTCTCTTCTCACTGGCACCATCAAGAAGGAAATGCATCCCAACCTATCCTTTTATGATGGACAAGCACTCCTTCATGACGGAGCAGGATATGCCTTCTGTACCATGTGGTACAAATCAAACATCACTCCTGAACCCTGCTATGAAGATGAACTCTATCATCTGGTCGAAGTAAAACTCACTGCACAAGACTTCTACTGTGATTCTGAAGGCAACAGTATGGTCTTGATTCATCTACCTCCGGAACTCAAGCATTTGTACCGTCATTGGGACACTGCCATTCCACATGTCCCTGTGACCAAGTTGAAAACAATATCATGGAATGATCTTGGGCGTATGGCAAAAGCATGGGCCACTATGGACGAATCACAGCTACAGGAAAATGGTGTTGTCAAATATCCAACAACTGACCCTAAAAGCATGGCCGCGTCATTTCCTGGAGAATGAGTTCCAAGATTTAACCATAGTGAATGAATACGACCCAGATACACCTCATGACTGTTTTGAACAGATGAAAATGGAAACAACACATCTACCAACTGTGCATGAAGACCCATTGGTAGATCCCGATCTCACCCTGTTTGTGGACGGCTCAAGATATGCTGATGAAGAAGGAAGATACCATACAGGATATGCAGTAACCACAACAGATGAAATTGTCAAATCATCATCTTTACCATCAACTATGTCTGCACAAGAAGCTGAATTGCAAGCCCTGACTTCAGCATGCAAGATCTCTGAAGGAAAGCGCGCCAATATCTACACGGATTCAAGATATGCACTGGGCGTGGCTCACGATTTCGGATTAATTTGGAAAACAAGAGAATTTCTTACCACCGCCGGTACACCAATCAAGCACGGTTCCGCAATCAAGGAGCTGATGGACGCCCTCCTACTCCCAGAAGAAGTGGCTATTTTGAAGATAAAAGCACATGGGAAGTTGGACTCAGATGAAGCAAGGGGCAACCATCTAGCTGATCAGGCTGCAAAACAAGCTGCAAAAGAACCACAGGAAGTGGAAAGAAGAGTGTCCGGAAATGAAGAAACTCCCATATTTACTCTGCAGACTCTTCCAACTGACCTGAAAATCCTGCTGGAACAACAGGCTACAGTTGCCCCTGAAGAAATACAGAAGAGGAAACAGAAAGGGGCAGTTCTGAAGGATGGAGTGTACTCCAACAACCTCAATTTCTGCCTCCCTAAGAATTTGTACCCAGCAGTCGTACAATGGGCACACGGACCTGCACATTTATCAAAGGATCTAATGAATGCTCTTGTACAAAATGCTACCTCACTGTCCCCATATGAGATTCTATTTGGGACTGCACCTAGGCTAGGTTGCTATTTTCCCCAACAACTACAACTTCAAACTGATGTTTTAGTAGATTATGTAACTGACCTCGCAAATGCTTTGAACAAAATCCATGCCCAAGTTTTCTCTTCAATTCCAGATCCTGATTCTGACACAGGCAACCACAGTCTGCTCCCCGATGACTGGGTTCTGGTCAAGAAATTTGTGCGAAAACAGTAAATGTCCGTTCCAAGTTCTCCTGATCTCCCTACCTCTGTCAAATTGGCCGGAAGGCCTAACTGGATCCACGCTTCCCATTGCAAGAAGACACCTGCCCCAGAGGAAGCTAACTCTATGCAACCATGTGCCTCTGGTACATTATCTCCTTAGTTGGCCTCCTTAAAGCCCAGCAGGTGGCCATCACCAAAGATGCTAGTGGGTACACCTTCTGGTATAATTCATCATGTACCCATGTGGCTACATTCACTTTTGATTACTGTGATATTGTAGAGTGCCCATTCCCTAAGTCACAGATTCAAGCCATTTATAAAGATATACCACAAGCAAAAGACCCTTACGTTTGTGTAGTAGATGAACAATGGGGTTGTGACTGTAACTACTGGGGGGCTGCGGGATGGAATACTGGGCCTGCCTGGGGTTATAAACCCAAAAGTGCTTTATCCAAGATAGACAATCAGGGTAGATCCCTCCTTCAAAGAATGACTTTAAGAAAGCCTGGAGGAAGTACCCCTATGAAATTAATGTTAAATATTGAACATCCTGGCCCCGAGGATGCAGACCGATATGTAATGGGAATGTATTGGAAGAAAGGTTCCTACAACAAATCAGGTCATTTCTACCTCAGAGATATGTCCCACTCTCCAGAGTGGCAAGGGGCTGATCATATGGTCCCAAATCCGCTAAAACCACATATCCAGTCCTTTAAAGATATGATGGCCATCGCTAACCCCACTTTTGAAGATATCATGGCCGCTGAAACTGGATTCAATGACATTAATTTGTGGTTAGAATGGATGAGGTATAATGCTAACAAACATAATAAAACAGCATGTTATGTATGTGGCGGTGCCCGACCCCACCTTGGCACCGTCCCCCTAATTCTCCCTTTAGAGATAGAAGATTGCTTCTTAAGCCTTTTTGCCTACCAATATGACTTTAATAGGTCCCTCTACATGGCATGGACGGCAGAATACCCTCTCTTAGTTGAAAATGTTAAGCCACCAGATGGAGTCACAGTCTATAGAGGTAATTACACTTGTTATGCCATGTATGACGGGATTGGTAAATTCATGGGTAACTTTTCTAAAGGTTATTGCGCCACTTACAGTACTGTTCCTATACGCCTGTTGCAACACCATACCAGGTCATTGGGGGATATTTACTGGTTATGTGGGGATCTACAGTTAAGATCTAGGCTGGAAACTGAGTGGTGGGGTGAGTGTACCCTGGCCAAAGTTATCATGCCCATTCATATTATTTCTGATAATCATCATGACACATACGACCCTCCACATACATCAGCCAGAGTAAGGCGCGAAACCCCAGTAAAAGGCAGTTTTGACCCCCACATTTACATAGATGCCATTGGGGTGCCTAGGGGGTACCTAATGAATTTAAAGCTAGAGATGAAGTAGCTGTAGGTTTTGAATCACTTTTTACCATAGTCACTGCCAACAAAAACCTTAATTGGATTAATTATATCTATTACAACCAACAGCGCTTCGTGAACTACACCAGGGATGCCCTCCAGGGCTTGGCCGAGCAATTACAGGCCACATCCCAAATGACCTTCCAGAACAGACTGGCCTTAGACATGATCTTAGCCGAAAAAGGGGGGAGTCTGTAAAATACTTCCCGACACTATGACTTGTTGCACTTACATTCCAGAAAACACAGGTCCTAATGGTAAAGTCACTCTAGCCATAGCTAAATTAAATAGACTCTCAGAAGAGTTAAAGAGAAACTCTGGAGTTACTGATCCCTGGGAAAAATGGTTTGGTTGGATGACTGGTTGGCAGAGAGCTTTAGTCCAGATTGGTATTGCCTTACTAATTTTTTCTTTTTATTCTCGCTCTTCTCATTTGTTGTGTCCTCCCATGCCTAAGGAAATTCCTGCAGAAAACTGTAGACCAAGCAACACCAACCTTCACTCATCTGACAATCGATGATCAAGATCTCACCTCACCCTGTATTCCGCTACAAACTCTCCCTTATACTGATGAAGTGCAGAAAGTCTAGGAAGGGACAGTACAGGGACAGCGTCCGTCTTTATGGGTAGACTGCCGTACAGAGAAGTAGTGGATAAGCCACTATGGGTTACCAGCGGAGTGAAGAGTGTTCCTGAACCGTACTGACGGATGTGCTGCAGCCTGTTAGGGTCAAGAGAGGGATAGACTTGCACTTTGCATTAACACTAAGTCAGCGGTCATGGGTTTTCTGTGTCTTTGGGCTAATACTTCTTCTGATACTAACAAATAAAGTTTTGTCTTTTAGCAAATAACATTTTAGGGGGGACTGTTGTAGAATTATTAGGCCTCTATAAATCTGTAAGGCCCCTTTAAATCCTCTTGCTATACCTCTAAGAGGCCCCCATAGTTTTACAAGGAAGCTTTGTCTATAGAACATAGAATTTGCAT